AAGCGATTCTCCTGCCTCAGCCGATGCAGAGCAGCTGCGACTGCAGGCTTGCGCCGCCACGCCGGGCTAACTTTCGCACTTAGCATTTTCAGTAGGCGGGGTTCCACCATTTTTGTGCCTAGGCTAGTCTCGAACTTCTGAGCTTTAGTAATCACAAGGTGCTGGAATTACAGGCAGGCACCTTGCCCCGCCACAAACACTGGATTTTTAAGTTGACCAATGATTGATCTGTCCCCAACAGATGAGATCATTCAGGTACCATGGCTAATAACACGTAATGCTAGTGTAATAAAACCCCGCCGCCTAATACAGGACCAGTTAAATTTTAGAAGCCCGAGAATAAAAGACATCACATACATCACAAAACTGCTGGTGTTCTTAAATCATTTCCACCAGCTCTTTTCCGTGGAGGCCTGGGATAGAAATACCGAAGTTCCTGATGTTTTTTCCGCCTTCCCTTTGTCCGGAGCACACCCGACACCCGCCATCTTGGCAGGATCGCTAAAAGCGGCTTGGTTGAACTCTGCTACAACCCTAGAAAGTTTACAGAAGGAAGCTCAGATCGCCCACGTCTTCGTGGTAAGCAGTTACGGCCCTTCGTGTGAGGAAGGAAGTGGCCCTGAAAAGGGCCTTTTGTGGGAGAGTCAATAGCAAGCCAGAACGAGGCTCAGCCGCCGAAGCCGTAGAGGGTGCGGCCCTGGCGCTTGAGCGCGTACACCACGTCCATGGCGGTGACCGTCTTGCGCTTGGCGTGCTCCGTGTAGGTCACGGCGTCCCGGATCACGTTCTCCAGGAACACCTTGAGCACCCCGCGGGTCTCCTCGTAGATGAGGCCGGAGATACGTTTCACGCCGCCGCGTCGGGCCAGGCGCCGGATGGCGGGCTTGGTGATGCCCTGGATGTTGTCACGCAGCACTTTCCGGTGGCGCTTGGCGCCGCCCTTCCCCAAGCCTTTGCCTCCTTTCCCTCTGCCAGACATGACGACAAGGAAATAGCAACCCTACCTCTGCAACTTCAGTGCTCCTTCTTGAAGCCCCTTATATATCAATAATGCGGACCTTTTTGGAGACTGAAATGGAGGGGCGGGAACGAAACCTGTGTCTCCGCCTTTTCCCTGCCTTGCTGGGCTTCCCCTACACTGTTGTCTAAGGAACGAATCCGGCGGGGAAGTGCAATGCGGTTTGACTTCTTTCTGTTTCCTTGCTTTGGTCTTGCGTGCAGGTTTCTGTATCCTCCAGTCTAGTGCCTGTTGGCTCTCAAAGAACTGATTATGTTTGTCTCCTAACAACCTTAACATTTGTAAAAAGGAGGCAGTAACGCTACATACACTTGTCTACAAAATGGATAGACAAGAAAATAACTATTTCTTTTAAGACAGTCTCGCTCTGTAGCCCAGGCTGGAGTGCAGTGGCGGGTTCTCGGCTCACTGCAACCTCCGCTTCCCGGGTTCAAGCGATTCTTCTGGCTCAGCCCGCGGAGTAGCTGCGACTACAGGCGCGCGCCACCACGCCTGGCTAAAATTTTGTATTTTTAGTAGAAACGGGTTTTCGCCATATTGACAAGGCTGGTCTGAATTGACCTCAGGTGATCGGCCCCCGCTTGGCCTCCCAAAGTGCTTGGATTACAGGCAGGAGCCATCGCGCCCGGCCTTAAGTTTTAAACGTTAAGATTCCTTTAAAATGTATGTTTATTAATTTTAAAAATATAGCAAGCAATACTTATTAAATTTGGTCGATCATGAGACTGCGTTTGACAGAGAAATATGCATTCACATCGTTTTTGGCATTCCTAATAAAGAAGGATCTGTAAGAAGGGAAACCAATATTAATTGAATTTACATTCTTAGTTTCCCAATGTATAATGCAATATCTGACGCTTGAAGACATAATCATCTAATAAGTGGTATTGTATTGTTGGGCTCGATTTTGTAGTCTCACTGTTTTGCTATCTACCACTGCTTTCCTGCCAGTAAAGCATACATGGGAAATCATGGCGAATAAAGATTTACAAATTAACAAAAATACTAATCAGGTCTGTGAAATACTGTCCTAAAAAAAGATTCCTGAATAAATGTTTACACACAGATCATAGATGATGTGTAGTAGAAAAATTGCAGCATTAACTTATATTCTACACCTTCACATTCATTGCCTCCGATATACTGCAGGTTACTTAAAAATTCCTTCTCTGTTGATACCTAAAGGCAGTGAGAACATTATTCATTTTGAGGTTAAGAGTCTGCTTAAATTTTGGGTTAGGTTCATTTGCCTGTAGGCATAGACACAGAGATCTTTAATGCTCTCCTTTTTGAGGTAGGCACCAAAGCATCACTCATTGATTCATTCAGCAATTTAATGTCCTCTAAATACCAAGAATGGTGTACAAATACCAGGTTTACGAAGATGATCACATTTATTCTCTTAAAAAAGTTAAAAGTTTAGAGAAGGGAAAAGTAAACTCAGGGTTAGGGGACAGATATCAAACCAGCATACTTTTTTTTTTTTTGGAGACGGAGTTTCGCTCTTTTTGCCCAGGATATAGTGCAATGGCCTGGTCTCGGCGGAGATTAGTTAGCCCAAATGTTTTTACTTATTGAGACCCAAAGTAGCCATGGGAACCAGTCAGTGTTGCACAAGAATAAAATGGTGGCATCTGTTAATTCGCTATATCTAACATGGTGAACAATTCCAAAAATTATTCAACAACTATTATTAAGACTACAATAATAATCAAAATAATAAACAGTAAACAATCTGAGGTTTTTTTTTTTTTTTTTTTGGAGACATAGGCTTGCTCTGTTGCCCAGGCTCGAGTGCTGTGGCTCGATCTCAGCTTACTGCAACCTCTGCCTCCCGGGTTCAAGGGATTATCCTGCCTCAGTTTCCCTAGTAGCTAGGACTACAGGCACCCACCACTACAGCTGGCTAATTGTGTGTTTGTGTATGTGTGTGTGTGTGTTCTAGTGGAGAAGGGGTTTCATGGTGTTAGCCAGGATGGGCTTGATCGCTTGATGTTGATCTCGTGATCCACCCACCTCGGCCTCCCAAAGTGCTGGGATTACAGGCATGAGTCACCATGCCCGGCCAGCAATCTTAATTTTAATTCTATCTTTGTGTCTAGACATTGTAAAGCTATCAACTGGAAAAAGAAATGTTTATGCCTGTGACTGTCACTGTTGAAAATGATATCCATAATGATGCACAGCCCCTTCCTCCAGAAACCCATAAAATGCCTCCCTACAGGAATTACTGACTTCGACAAATCCAAGTTTATAAGTTTTCCTCTTTTAGAAACCATATTTGTATTTTTGTGGTATATAACACGGTCTTAAGTCCCAGAGACTTGTTTCCAATCTGTGCAGGAGAGTAAATAATTAGTTAAGACAATTTAAGTAATTTAAATGAAATTAGTTGAATCAGGAGAGATGACATCTTCAAAGTTGATTATTTTATCTAGGATTTTTTCCACCCAAATTCTTTGGGAAAGAATTTATCTAGGATTTACACGAAAAAGTCTTCTAATCACTATGGAGTGTCGGCCAGAATAACTTGATTTTCTGAAATATGAGTATTTTTGTTAGTAGAAACAGAACATCAAATTACTCTTGTTCATTTAACAAACATAGGAGTTCATTTCAGCATCCAATTATTTGATGGAGAATATTAATTTTATGCATAATTATCCAATAATAACCTAATTCCATCATCTGCATTGCTAACTGAAAGATAAGGAATAGTGAAGTTACTCATGTTTGCTGTGAGATGTTTGCTTAGCTCCTTAGGTGGACATATTCAACCAATTAATTTTGGGTGTGACAGTTCAGTTTACATTTTGTGAGTAAAAAGTCCAAGGAGAATGATGAAAATTTTGAAAGTGATTTTAATGAGATTTGTACTTGTACTGTTGAAATTTGTATTTTATTTTAGTAAATAGTGATTTTTACCATTTATTCAACAAGGTTGGAGAGAGAGATTGAAAGAGAGAGGAAGCAACATTTGTATTTTAAATATAATTTTAAATTATAAAAGTATGTAAAAAATTATTTGGTGAATATTGGCAGAAAAAATAATGTCTTCCATTAAATCATTTACAATTTTAAAGTGATGGGACAGGAACATGTGAACTGTTAATGCTCAGAAGCTCTAGCTCTCAGTGCTCACAGTTGGTAACATGATATTGGCCTGCAATTCTATTATTTCTTGATTCAGTTTTCTTTTTGGAGATGTGGTAGTTGATCTTTAATGCCTATTTTAGGTCTAAAAAATCCATGATCCTAACTTTTTAGAGAAGATTGGTCACTGTTTAGGACTTTTTTCTATAAGTAGAATGATGTAACCTCACCCTCATCTTTCTGGAAATTTTTAAATCACTAAAATATTGAGATCAAATCGAGCTTACACACTAGTAACTTAAATGTTATTTAAAAACAAAAAAACAACCAAACAAAAAACCCCTGTCTTTTCTAAAATAATAACCCCTCTTGTACATAGAACTTCCTACCCGAGTGCCAATTCCTAGAGCTTGATGCAAACAGCTCGCCAGAGAGCCTGTGCTATTGTTCCTGCGAAAAAAAACAATTTTCCTACACATTTGAGTAAATATGAGTTTATCTGTATGAAGTCGAGAAGATTAGAATGCAGGGAACAATGTCCTGGAATAGACATTTGCAAATGAAAGAGGGAGAAATAGTATTTTTAAGGAAAACCTGAAAGTTGTCTCGATTTGACCGAAGTTTTAAAGAGAGTTGGGGGAATAAGGAAAGTTTCAAGATGCCGGTTTTAAAACTATGCACAGAAAATAAGGCAGGAAGGAAGCCCGAGGTCTCTCGGATCAGTTTCCCCCAAATCCCTAATTATTTCCTGCCCAGATTTCTTATATTTTCACTCTTTTTTAAGGGGCAACAAACACAGCAGCGCGGTAGAGCCGAGGAGTCCTTTTCCTGCAGGGCCGCGCATGGAGCAGGGAACCAATCATCGCTCAGCGTCTCTCTATATAAACCCTCAGCCTCCACCGGAGAGGACAAGCTGCTCTGACACTTTGAGCTTACTTTTGTCTTTGATAAGACATCAACATGTCGGAGACTGCTCCAGTTGCTCCTACCACTCCAGCACCCGCGGAAAAAGCACCTGTGAAGAAGAAGGTGAAGAAAGCAGGCGCAGCGGCTGGAAAACGCAAGGCATCGGGACCCCCAGTGTCTGAGCTCATCACCAAGGCAGTGGCAGCTTCCAAGGAGCGCAGCGGCGTTTCTCTGGCCGCGCTTAAAAAAGCGCTTGCGGCTGCCGGATACGATGTAGAGAAAAACAACAGCCGCATCAAGCTTGGCCTCAAAAGCTTGGTGAGCAAAGGCACTCTGGTGCAGACTAAAGGCACCGGTGCTTCTGGCTCCTTCAAACTCAACAAGAAGGCGGTTTCCGGGGAAGCTAAGCCTAAAGCTAAGAAGGCGGGCGCCGCCAAGCCTAAAAAGCCCGCAGGGGCAGCCAAGAAACCCAAGAAGGCGACTGGTGCGGTTACCCCCAAGAAAAGCGTAAAGAAGACCCCTAAGAAAGCAAAAAAGGGGGCAACAGCTGCTGGGACCAAGAAAGTAGCCAAGAGTGCGAAAAAGGTGAAAGCATCCCAGCCGAAGAAAGCTGCCAAGAGTCCGGCCAAGGCCAAAGTTCCTAAGCCCAAGGCAGCCAAGCCTAAAGCGGCGAAGCCGAAGGTTACAAAGGCGAAGAAGGCGGCTCCGAAGAAAAAGTGAAACTCGCGGGACGTTCCTCTTTGAAAATTTAAACGGCTCTTTTCAGAGCCACCTAGAGATCTCAAGTCAAAAGAGCTGTAACTTGTTTTCTTGGAGGGAGGGAGGGAGGGAGACAGGGCGGGGTGGGAAAGGCGGGGGTGGGAAAGGCGGACGGGTTGTTGGGGTCCGGGGGTCCGAGTAAGCTCACCGTTCCCTGCAGCCTGGGTGCGAAGATCCTCCCGCCTCAGCCCCAGCCACCGGAGTAGCTAAGGCTACCTGAGCCACCACCCTCGGGTTTTTCTTTAAATTCCCGCCCTGGTGTGTGATTGGCTAGCTGATTTCTCTTAAAGCGAGGCTCCTAAAAGTGGCTCTGAAACGATTTTATTCCTGGTACAGGTATATAGTTTAAATGCTTTGCTTTACTTTTAGTATTGAGATTACCTTTTGAGCTATAGCCCTTGCTGGTTTTAAGCAAGACGTTGCCTGCGAAGGGTTCCTGCGGGCCACGATCACGTGAAACCAATCGTTGACGATGGTCAGCTGTAGGTGGCGCCCAATGCCCGTCTTTTTGCAGACCTTGTTACCCTCCCCCCTCGCTTCGTTCTGGGGTACCGGCCGTCAGGTACGTTGCTGGAAACTGGCCTTTTGGGGCCAGGCGCGGTAGCTCACGCCTGTAATCTCAGCACTTTGGGAGGCCAAGACGGGTGGATCATGAGGTCAGGAGTTTGAGACCAGCCTGACCAACATGGTGAAACCCCCTCTTTAGTAAAAAATACAAAAAATTGCCGGGGCGTGGTGGCGAGCGCCTGTGATCCCAGCTACTTAACGTGGTGCCTGAGGCATGAGAGTCGCTTGAACTCAGGAGACAGAGGTTGCAATGAACCGAGATCGCGCCGCTGCATTCCAGCCTGGACGACAGATGGAGACTCTGTCGTGGGGGGAGGGGGGGTCGTGGTGGTGGGGGCGGGGGGGAAGGGCAGTGTGGTTAGTGTGGTTATTGTTTCTTTTCTGTTAGTGGCCAGCGTCTCCAGGACTTATTTTCCCAGGGTCTCTCTTGGCTGTTCACTTATTTTTTTTTTTATTGAGACGGAGTTTCGCTCTTGTTACCCAGGCTGGAGTGCAATGGCGCGATCTCGGCTCACCGCAACCTCCGCCTCCTGGGTTCAGGCAATTCTCCTGCCTCAGCCTCCTGAGTAGCTGGGATTACAGGCACGAGCCACCATGCCCAGCTAATTTTTTGTATTTTTAGTAGAGACGGGGTTTCACCATGTTGACCAGGATGGTCTCGATCTCTCGACATTGTGATCCACCCGCCTCGGCCTCCCAAAGTGCTGGGATTACAGGCTTGAGCCACCGCGCCCGGCTTGTTCACTTATTTTTGCCTCCTCTGAACTTTGTAGGACTGCCTCCAGGTAACACTAGCGTGCTGGCCCAACCCGCTTGGAGTACCTGTCTGCGGAGGACGCGGTATATTAACCCTGCTGGCAACTGTAGGCCTGCGTGGGAAGAGCGGGTCTTGCGTTTGGCGCGATTTTGGTCTTGTTTTCCGCACCCAGATAATGTTAGGGAAAAAATGCAATTCTAGTATTAAGCTAATCAGAGGGAGAGGTCATCATAGTCTCTGTCTCAGTTTTGCAAAACATGCTCTCCCATTGGTTTGCACAGCCTGCTGAATTAACCAATCAGAATGTATTTTTAGATTTTTATTTCCTTGGTTTTTCCTAGAGGAAATTTTTCACCAGAGCACGATATTAAAATTTGTGTATGCTGGGATATAAGTATTGCTATCGCCCTGAGGCTAAGGGATAGTGAAAAGTATGAAAGGAAAAACCCTGGGGAAGGCAGGAAGGAACCTGAAATTGGGGTTACCAAGACAAAAAGCCACAGGAAGGTGGCCTGACCTGTATGTACTACTATTTCCATTTCATCTGGGAGGCTGAGGTGTTGTTTAATTTTGTTTTTGATTTTTGGAAAGCCCACTTAACTGTACTGAGAAATCTGAGTATAATCTGATTTCTACAGATGTTTATGGAACTCTAGATGGGAAAAGATTACACCATTTTTACAAATCCTAAATGCAATTTGGTATTTCCTTTGTGAGTGCAGGCAGCTAATCACTGGATTTCACATCAATGATAATCATACATATTTTCAAATCACTTTGTACTTATTGTAGGTATAGTTTACACTAATTGTGAACCTTTCAAACTAACATTATTACACTTACTGCTGCATCTTATTTGACGTGTAACTAAAGTATGTACGGACTTTAAGAAAAAAACTTTAAGTGTCACTACCTTTCTTACCCTGTATATATTTTTTAAAAAAACATGGTTTTGAGAAGGTGTCTATAGATTTCCAGAATCTAGAGTACATAGCACAAAACAAGTCATAAACTGTTTTTGTTTGTTTGTGACTGAGATTCACTCTTGTTGCTGCCCAGGCTGGAGTGCAGTGGCGTGATATTGCCTCAGCCTCCAAGTAGCCAGGACTATAGGCGTGTGCCACCATGCTCAGCTAATTTTTGTATTTTTTGTAGAGACTGAATTTCTCCACGTTGGCCAGGATGGTCTCGATCTCTTGACTTCATGATCCCCCCCGCCTTGGCCTCCCAAAGTGCTAAGATTACAGGCGTGAACCACCATGCCGGGTCCAAGTCATGAATTCCTAAACATGTTTACAGTGGGACCAAATATTATAAATCCTTTATGAGTATAATACCTCTTAATCTTTCTTCTTTGTTTACATTGTTTATTAAATAAAATTATTAAATATTAAAATTTTACATTTTACATTATTATTTGCCTCCCTGCTCCCCAAAATGAAATGTAGCCTGATATTTTTCTAGTTATAAGCAGGAATTTAATTTTTTTAGGAACCACGGCTACATCACACAATTTCTTTGTAGAGAAAGCCAAAATACCTCCTGTGTGAGAGTGGCTTGACTGAGAAGGGAATCTGAATAAATGGGAGGATGTGATCTTTTTTCTTTTTAGACGGAGTTTTGCTCTGTAGCCCAGACTGGAGTGCAGTGGTACAATATTGGCTCACTGCAACTTCCACCTCTCAGGTCCCAGTTCAAGCAATTCTGTGTCAGCCTCCCGGGTATCTGGGATTACAGGCAGGTACCACCGTGCCTAGGTAATTTTTGTATTTCTAGTACAGACAGGGTTTCACCATGTTGGCCAGGCTGATCTTGAACTCCTGACCTCGTGATCTGCCCGCCTTGGCCACCCAAAGTGCTAGAAGGACAGGCATGAGCCACTGTGCCTGCTTGTGAAATATTTATTCAAAATAATCTTTTTGAAAATAATAGATTATGTCATTGAGTGGGAAAGACAGGTACGTAGGGGTAAGCCAAACTTCTTCACCCTTTAAAAGTTCAACGAAAATCAACAGAAAAAAGATAGATTAATAGAAAAGTCATACTTCATCATAGGCTTTTGTGAAATGGGAACCTGCAGAATGAAGGTCCGGAAGTACAGGGGAAACTGTCCATTTTTATGCTTAGGTTCAACAAAGTATCAACTGCCATGTAAACTGTGATTGGCCAGAGTGTTTCATCTAATGCTAATAGACTGGGGAAACACAGCAAGTCCTCTGTGTCTGGACTCTCCTTGGCCCCTGCTGAAATTCCTTCTGCGTATGGGGTAGGACCCTCTCTGGAATGAGGGACGGTCTTATGACCTACAGCCGAACAACATAAGACATGTACTTTACAGCTAGCTTTCACACAGAAACGAGGGAGAAACGGTACACTGAAATTTTTAGGTTTTACAGCTTTATGAAGAAAAAGGGGTTCTGGTTTCTGTAACCACCTTGGGGAAGAGGGGTTCTAGTTTTTATGTGTAGCCTCAATGAGAGGCCAAAGGAGAGCAGGAGGTCAGAGACAAACTTCTGCTTCTGAGGGTGCTTCTAAGGCCTTCAGTTTGCGTTATTATTTCCCAATCCCCAATGGGGAGAAGAGATGTGGAAAAATGACAAGACTTAGGCTTTTGATGAAAAGTGATAAGGAATAACAGAATTAGGTGGGAAATGTGGCATTCCTTAAGCACAGTCCAAATGACTATAATATACCTCTAGTTCCTTACTTTTACAAAGCAGTTATTTAACTGCCTCACTTGGGCACTTACAATGCATTTATATTAGGTACAGCAAAAATGCTTGTTTTACCATTAGGAAACTTTGGGCTTAACAAAGAGAAATGGCATGAAATGACAATTTGCTGTCAGTAAATGGTGGACCTAGGTCTCAAACAAGTTTCTTCATTCCTAGTATCATTCTTAAACTGCTTTACTTCTGTTATATCAACTGGAAAAGACTGGTATTGAGAAAGAAGCAGAATTGATATATTTCTATTTCAGGCCCCTTGTCAAGTACCCATTTCAGAATGTGTTTGGAATGCAACAGAAGCAATTAAACATGATGATTCAATCAAGGATCTAGAGTCGCTCTGATTTATATAAATTCATACTCATTTGCCACAGAGGACACACACTTGATTTCAAGGAAATCTGGAGTTATTTAAATCTTTCTCCATATCTTACATTTTGGTAGCAGTTGTAATAAGTATCTCGAGATTTGTAAAGAAGATTAATAATGTCTTAGCATGGAAGTTGTGGAGGTTTTTATATTATCTTTGTTGTTGGAGAGTATTTACACTATGGCATAGGTATGACACAAAAGTAATTTTTTGGATCAGCCTGAGGTCACTACTTTCTTTTAACTGGAGAAAGCAGATTTTCATGGTGTTTTGTGGAGGTCTCAGGTATCTCTGTCTCTACTATAAACATACAAAAATTACACAGTCATTAAATCTGGTTGATTTTTATTTTTTATTTTTATTTATTTATTTAGATGGAGTCTTGATTTGTAGCCCAGGCTGCAGTGCAGTGGCCTGATCTCTGCTCACTGCAACCTTTGCCTCCAGGGTCTTGGTTCAAGCAATTCTCCTACCTCAGCCTTCCAAGTAGGTGGGACTACAAGCAGGAGCCACCATGCCCAGCTAATTTTTGTATGTTTTAGTAGAGACAGTGTTTCACCACGTTGCCCAGTCTAGTCTTGAAGT